CATTTTTGTCTGAGCTTAGGAGCGATTAAGCGTTGCATGGGATTTCTGATGTTCTGAATTTTTTTAAGTAGATTAGAATATTATTAATATTATTTCAATATTAATATAAGGGAAGTAACTCTTAGAGTTTTCATTAAAGGGAAGTAACTCATGAAGTAGTTATTGAAGAAAAGTAACTCTTGCGTTAATAAGATTTTTACGATCAAAATTTGCTCAAGTTGAGAATTAAATTCGAGTTTGACAAATTTTACTTCATCATAAAATGGTCAAATTATGTTTAATTCAATATTTTAATCGTCAACCTTAATTTTTCAACAGTCCAAGAGTTTACGGAGTAAAGGAGTAGCTTTAATGGAATTATTTGAGATCAAATATTTTTATCACTAATTTCTGTCTAACCTTTCCTTCATCTGATTGATGCTTTTCATCACAATTTTCTCGGTTGATTAATCCTATGACTATCAAAATAATGACAGTTGGATTAAATTCGTCTTAGAATTCAAGTAATTTATATCTCTTCAATATGCAAAAGTTCCATATGCACTTTTTCTGAAAAATGAAAAGACTGAATTATACTGAACGTAGGAGATCATGGCTCTCCACAACTTCTTATAATTTACAGTTTTTAGAAAGGTTTGTCTTTTCACCATCCTTCCCTCTCCCAAACTACTTGGCCTTTAAGCCTGATTTGGGGGGCGAGATAGTGCTTTGTGACCTTTACTATCTTATCAACATTTGCTATTTTCTATCTACATTTATACACTTTAATTAAACTAAACACAACTGAATATTAAAAGGATGAAAAAATTTTCATGAATTTTTTATGTCATTCTATGGTCTTTTTTTTTTTTCATCCAAATCTGTAAATTTGTTTTGCTTATGTTAAGTCTTGAAAAAAATTCACTATTTTTTTTACCCATAATGTTAAATATGTTAAAATCATTCAATTTTTTTTAACGAAAAATTACTGCAAGACATTGTTGATTTATTTAAGATGGAATGATGTATTATGACATTTGTATTTAGATACATTATATTTATTTTCAATTTTTGTAGTTGAATTGTTCACATATATTGCGTATGATCCATTATTGTACATAATTAGGTTATAATAAAATTTATATTTTATATGAATAGTACCTTATGAAAATTGAGATATAGTAGATTTTGGGGGGATCATATCATAGATTGGGAAGGTGGGCATGAGACTCTTGCACTTGACCTGGTGATTCTAATGCCACTGCTTTGAATATACGCTCTTTTAGCACTAGAGGGCATCGTCAGTGATGTTCTGGAATTGGATCATTGGGCAGTTTCGGGTCTTTCAAACATCATACTGACCTCACCAAGTCGACCCCATCAGAGCTGATCAGACTCTGATACACCCTCTAAAAAATGCTTGTAGACACTGACTTCTATAAAAATTAAGGTTGACAATTAAAATATTGAATTAAACATAATTTGACCATTTTATGATGAAGTAAAATTTGTCAAACTCAAATTTAATTCTCAACTTGAGCAAATTTTGATCGTAAAAATCTTATTGACGCAAGAGTTACTTTACACATTTGATTGGAGGTCGACCAACAGCCAATCACAACAGTGTGAACTCTATTTAAGCTGTTTACAGGTAATTTTTTCTTTTTTTCATTTTTGAGTGGACCCCCTTTCATCGGATACTTAGAAGGTAATTATGTTTTCCGTTTTTACCCACTTCCCATCAAGTTTCATTTCACCAGCTAGTAATTACTATTTACAGAGATAATAAGAAAAATTCGGCAATTAAAATTAATAAATAAATTACAGCGAATTAAACCGAGAGTGCTTATAAATATTGTAATAAAACATTTAAAACATGTTGACAAATAAAAAAAAAAAAATTTACAGCGAATTAAACCAAGAGTGCTTATAAATAACATAAATAGATACAGACAAAAAAATGCAATTCTGGTTATTATTACATGGGATTGTAATTGAATAATGAGAAAAAGATGGGTTTTACTATAGTAGTGATTTTGATTATATTAAACAAGTCTTTTATTATTACTACCATAGGAATTTCTGTCAAACATGTTTTTATATTAAAAATCCTAATATCCGGATTCTATTTTTTTTTTCTTTTCCAAATCTTTGAATTTGTCTTGCTCATATATATATATATATATATATATATATATATATATACACACAAAAAAATAAAACAATGCATGTTATGGTTTCAGTGTTATGTTTTTTGTCCTCTCTTAAGGCACTTACAGATTCTTTTAAAAGCTCAATTAGAAAATTAAAAACAAAATTCTTACAAAAAAAATTTATTAGTTACATAAATAGTCTATTGTTTTAAGAACTGTCTTGCATCATTATACAAGCTTGTTGATACACTTTTCATAGAAACTTTGTGTTTTTTTTTGTTGGTAGAAGTGTGGGAGGTAGTTTACGACTGACTGTACAGAGTCAATTTTTTTGTCATTTAAATTGTTTTGTAGAGACAGGAACAAATGAAAATCCGATGGAATTAAGTCAGAAGAATACGGTGGGTGCTGGAAGGTTTACTGTTTTTAACTCTTTAAGCTTCTATAATATCTGCTTTCCAACATCCGGTCTTGCTTTGACATGTTGGAAAATTACACCATTTCTATTTGGCTAAATTGTCTGTTTTTCTTGAATAGCCAAATTGAGATTGGTGAGTTGATTGCAATACTTCTTTGCAGTTATTGTTTCACTGACTGGAATAAAAAGTGAATTATCCCTCTGCAACAGAACCAAACAGACAGCAACAGCTTTATTAGATGCAATCCCATTTTAGCCACAGGCACTGCAAATTCAAAAATTTGTTTCCAACTTCATTTGTGTTGAATATTATCATAAATAATCCATTTTTCATCACCTGTGACAACTCTGTCCATGAACACATCCTTTTCATGGTATAACCAGAACCATCTTAATGCACAAGCCTGATGGATACTTGCCCGGAAGTCCCACGAGCATAGGGGCCCCATGCTAATCTGTGTATGGTAAGTGACTTGTGTTATAGAAGACCTTTTCTTAGGAAATACTAATAGAAATTAATACAAGCCCTGCATATTGTGATTGGTGAAAATATGTCATAACAGTAAGATCCATTTGAGTTGATTCTCAAATAAAAAAGGAAATGGGAGAATGTCCTCTATTGACCTAGAATACACTGGAAATGGTGAGGACTTTCTTCAAACAGGCCGTCCAACTATATAAAGAGAAGGGCTGTTTTGTCTTGCCAGTTCAGTTCACTTGCAGATAATTTTGCTATCATGAAAAAAAATCATTTACTTTTTATTCGTGGTTGTCATAGGAGATAAGCATTTTTTTTTCTGTTTTTCTTAAAAGTTCCTCATATCACTTGATGGAGTTTGAATTTATTTGTACCTGGTTTCTTAAGCAGGAAAACTTATTTTTTGCTGAAAACTTTTGAAAATACCTCAATGACAGCCCAGCTAGTGCCTGAAGTAGTTCCATCTCCCAAAGAGAACCGTGAGAAAATTAAATAAAATCGATAAAAAAAAAAATGTTTTTTTTGCAACTATACTAATGAAGTAAGCGAATTGGTTGTTCTAACTTAATGCAAAGTTCACTTGAGCTTGGCTATTTTAACAATTCTTATCCTAACGTACTTTTGAACCAAAAAGAAAAACAGACATACCGAAGAGATATGGAGAACTTTGTTTCACTACAGTCACCATAAAAAGAATAAATTTCTGTAGTGGAAATTCAAATTTGTGTATGCTTCTATCTGCTTTGTTTATATATTGAACAAGCACTCACATAAAATACACAGAAACATGTAACCCTTTAGCATCCATAGCACCAGTAGTTAGTGTCTAAGCCAACATAAAACCCCCCAAAATTTGAATGCTGATTTTCAGGGTATGCAGGCTAACCCTCCACATTTGAAAAAATTGGGGTAACACAATGCAATTGCCCACTCCATTCTGTCAATGTATAAACAGCCTCGTAAGTAGACCTGAAACCTGCTCAAAGAATCGAGTGTGACCAGGTCACCATCGAAATCCAACACAAACAAACACTGACCAAATACTATCTGCCAGGTATAAATTAAGTATGTCCACTGTTTTCACGGAAAAACAGCATAGCGTAAATTAAAAATGCCGCAAACTTAAAGAAAATAAAGTATTATCGTCAAAATGCTTATGTTATTATTAAGATGAAAGAAAAAAGTATTTTTTAATTATTTTTTGAAATTTTTAATATTTTCTAACACGTTTGAAATTTTGCTTAAAGTCGTCTTTGTTTACGCCATCGTGGCGACGTTTAAAAATAACATAGTTTTTTTTGCGTTTTTTACCGTTGAAAACATATTGATTTGGAAATTCTTGTAAAAATAAAATAATTGTCCAATCTTAATGAAATTTTCAGGACTTAATCACAAATGAATGAAATTATTTTTCGAATATTTTGTTTTTAGAAAATTTTGGTAAAAAAATATTTTTTTTTAAATATGTTACCCCCACTTAGTTAATTTCATGAAATTTCGCCCAAAACCTTTTTGGATCCTCAATTTTATTTTTTTGTTAAAAGAAGGAGTCTTTGGAGATGGTAAATAACCTACTTTTCTTTCACAAATGTATCTAAAAATTTCTATCTTCATCTGAATTATCTAAATATGTCCACCATCCCAAAATACATATTAGAGAAAAATGAAAAAAAAAGGAAAAATTAGGGAAAAATTTTTAAAAAAAGAAAAATTAGGGAAAAATTTTTAAAAAAAGAAAAATTAGGGAAAAATTTTTAAAAATTAGAGAAAAATTAGGGAAAAATTTTTAAAAATTAGAGAAAAATTAGGGAAAAATTTTTAAAAATTAGAGAAAAATTAAAAAAAATCTTTAAAAAAAAGTAAAAGAAAATCTTTGAATTGGAAAAAAAAAAGAATTAGAGCAATTCATAAAAAAAAAAAAAAATTAAGAAAAATCTTTTTTAAAAATGGCAATGAGTAGAAAAATGCTTACCGTGTCCAAGAGTTTCAGGTGGATTTTGTCAAACATGCCAGATTGCCTACAGAAATAAATACACCACTCAATCATTATTTTTCTCTCATTCTGTCTGTCATATAATTCATGGCTGATATCTGGGAGTTTCAACATCAAGTCACCAAAAAGGGCCGTATTTTCAAGAATTTTGGACACAGCTGAAAAGGCAATGAAAATAAAACATGCATATATTATGCTGTAAAAATATACAAGGTATATCTGCAAAAGCTCCAAGCCATTTAATATTAATGGAAAAATGACATCCCTCGGGCAATGGCTCCTTAGCTTCCTGCAAAAGCAATTCTCTTGGGATATCACACATTTAACCTAACATCTTTTCAAAACAACCAAGTCCTCACCTGCTATGTTTTTATCTTTATAAGAGTTAGATTAGACCAAAATTGGAGAAATGCTATGCTGGACATGCTCAGTCTATACTTTCTGGTCATCATCATCATCATCCCCTTGACTTTTATAATTGTAGGGCGGGTTCAAATGTAGAAGCCACACTGTTTTCCACAATGGTCTATCAACGACAGCCATCAGCAATTCCGGAAAAGTCATACCTGTCCACTGTTTGATGTTGGCCAACAGGTTTTTGTATTGGCGCCCTCTCCTATATCCACCTTCAACAGTGCCTTGCATGATGGTCTTGCACAGGCTGTCGTGCCTTGTAATGTGTCCAAACCATGCTATTTTTCTCTGTTTAACAGTGGCGAGCAGAGGTTCCTGGTGTCTTACAAAACTTTCAATACTTTTTTCAAACTCATTCGATTTTTTTTTCCCCAATAGAAAATGGCAAGGAGTTTCTCATGCATTTGTTTTTTAAAAAAAAAAAAAAAAATAAGCAGCTGGTACCAGCCTTGAAAAAATTCAAAATCATATAGGCAGTTTTGTATGGGATGACTTAGTTTTCAACTCTACAGCCTCTTTCCACACAGATGCAATGTTACAAGACTATTGCTATTCTATTGACTCATTTTACCCTGCCTGAAAGTATTTGGTCCTTCTGCTATGCTTTTATCTTTACAAGTGTCAAACTAGACAAAAAAATGGAGTATTGCTGCCATATCTGAGCTGGAGCTACATGATCCTCACTTTCAAGCTATGACAGAATTCAAAATTGTTTATATGGTCTTTTAAGGGATGACTTTCTTTCCATCCTAGAGCCTCTTTCCCACGGATGTAACATTGTAAGCTTATAGATATTTCCATGGTGTTTGTCCGTGTATTCAATATGGCTGTCATATATCTCTAGATTCTCAACAAAATCCAAAGAAGTGCCTAATTTTATTAGTCCTGATCTGGTATCTCGACTGACCATAACGTGGCTTCCCTCTGCCTTGTCTGTAAATATGGCAATTGTTCTAACGAGCTCTCCTCCTCGATACCCTGACTGTATGAATTTAAGTGTGTTACCAGATTGGTAACTAGGTCTCATTGTTTTACTGTTGAAATCGCTAGATTTAACAGTAAGTTCTATTCAAATAGTTTCTTTTCTTACACTTCCCACCTGTGGAAATCTCCACCTGTTTATATAAACAATCATTCTGACATTGATGTATGTAAAAATATCCACATTCATCTGATTTGTCTAAATACATCCACCATCCCAAAATACATGAGAGAAAAATTAAAAAAAAGGAAAAATTAGAGAGAAAAATTAAAAAAAAGGAAAAATTAGAGAGAAAAATTAAAAAAAAGGAAAAATTAGAGAGAAAAATTAAAAAAAAGGAAAAATTAGAGAGAAAAATTAAAAAAAAGGAAAAATTAGAGAGAAAAATTAAAAAAAAGGAAAAAAATGGAAGAAAAAAAAATTAAACAAAGGGAAAAATTAGAAGAAAAAAAATTAAACAAAGGGAAAAATTAGAGAAAAAAAATTAAACAAAGGGAAAAATTAGAGAAAAAAATTAAAAAAAAAAAAAAGGAAAAAATAAGAGAAAAAATTTAAAAAAAGAAAAAATTAAAGAAAACATTAAAAATATTTTTCTCCAGTTTCTTGCTTACCCGCTACCAACAATCTCCAAAGTATTTTCTTTAAATGCAATGTCCATACCATCTTCTCTCTTCCTAAATCTTGTTCTTTCTTAACACTAAAGCCTTCTCATTCTTATTCACTCTTAGAGACCACTGGTATCTTAGTAACATTATTGCCTTATTTGGGGCAAAATGATTAAAAAAAATGTTTGGATGAGTTCTACTCTTTAGTTTTACCAGATTACGGTTAGAATTTGCCATGATATGTCCACAGAGTCAAAACACGGATGTTTCCACTGTATTTCAATAGTAACGAGGAAGTTTCACTCTGACAGTTTTTTCCCTCCTGAGAACTGCTACTTCATGGAATGCCATGAGGAGGCTTCACTGAACATTACAATCTTAACCTCTTCAAGTCAAGAATCATTTGCTATCTATCCTCAGAATTTTCACTTCCTGCTACCTCTTCTTACATTTATATCACACACTTCATTCCGTAACCCTCTACCATGAAAGACTCTTGAGACTTTCATTGGGCAAAAATAAAAATAAAATAAAAATAATTTGGCACACTTGGACTTTTGTACCAGCAACAAACCGAAATGGAATGCCAAAAGGAGAGATTTTCTATTGACACTGCCATTATTTTAACTACCTTCACTTCTCGGCAATGTTTATTCTTTTAAAAAGCAATGATTAGAATTGTAATAAAACTTAAACATATGATGAAAGTAAATTTATACTTGTTTTTTTGTTCTTGAGAATTTACAACAAAAATATTAAACACTCTTAAATTGTTTATTGGAATGGTTGGCAAAACATTGGCTAAATAAAATAATAAATTGGCTTTATAAAATGATAAATAAGGATTTCCTTAAAGTTAGTTCATGTATTTTAATAATTTAGTAGATGTTTATAAATTTATGAATAGATAATTGTTTTCATATTTATTTCTTTATAAATTGGTAAATGATAAATATTGGATTAGTTTTAATTGTATTAGTATTTAGAATGTTTTAAATAGAAAATTATTCTTGTAAATAAACAATCTAGTAAATAAATAATGTTTAAGATTTTTGTCGTAAATTCACAAAGACAAAAAATGTAAAAATCCACCTTCATCATATGTTTAGGTTTTATTTAATTCTCAACATCACTTTTAAAACAATAAGCATTGCCAAGAAGTGATGGTAGTTAAATGAAAATATTTATAGAAAAGGCACAGGGAGGCTATTTCACAGTCATGTGGGACGGAGGTGGCAACAGAGAAGATGGTTAAGATGACAACAGAAACTGGTAGCATAATATGCTGCAAAAGTTTTCCATCACAATGACTCTTTATTTATAATACTCTGATAATTTACATGTGACATTAAATCCCCAAGGTAGATTGACGAAAAGTCAGACAGGCTACCATTAGCACAATAGAAATGTAAATTGCAGGGAATTGTGTAAATAATAAGCTAAAATAGGATTAAAAGCATTTAATTATGACTGAATGTGCATCTGCAATTGCTTGGGTTTGAACTCATGACTTAATTTGTAGGATTAAGCAAAACAAAGGTCATATACCCCCTCATCATCTGCTCAGCCCTAGAAAAATGACAATTAAGGTGGCCCAGTGGCTCAGATATATGGTATCCCCCACAAGGATTTTTGCTATTTTTTAACACTATTTCATAATTTTGTCTTGGTTTTCTAAGATATGTCTATTATTTTGACTTGATTTCCTACTACCCTGCTGGTAGGACTTAGCATATGCTGACAGTATTTCTTTCGGATGGGTAAGACACCTTGAAAAAATGGTCACATTCCAAGTGGCTACTCACAGACTCAGGTTTAAAACCAACCTTTTGGACACTGGTGCTTGGTTTGTTTGTTTTTGCTTTATGGCAATATCAACCTCAATGGGTTATTTAATGCCGAAAAATTTTTATTACTGGTAATATTTTTTTTTCCAAAAATGTACTGCTGGTAATATTTTTTTCCTCCAAAAATCTATTTCTGCTAATATTTAAAAAAAAAAAAAAAAAAAAATATAGCTGGTAATATTTTTATTTGTTTTTTCAAAAATGTATAGTTGGTAATAAATTTTTATAAAGTATTTCTGGTATTAAACCTATTTTTACACTTTCATAGTATTTTGACCCCAGTTTGAGGTTGACTATTTGCCCATAGTCAGGGTGGACCTGGGAACACCTGCAATTAAGAGGTGGTTCCATGCTCCTCAAAACCTCCTGATCAGAGGCCTTGCTGTTGGATGTAGTTTATTGTCTTGCCCAGGATGGAACACTGATGCAAACCTAGACCTCATTTTTTTTTCTATGTCTTCTTCTTTCTGATTCTGGGGCAAACTGGACCCATGTTTTCCTTTTTGTGATTCTTGGGTAAACAGGAACCATGTTTTCCTTTTTGTGATTCTGGAGCAAACTGGACCCATATCTTCCTAGAGATTCTGGGGCACACTGAACATATGTCTTCCCTTTTTGTAAAAAGGACCTATGTTTTCCTTTTGTTGTGTGCAAAACTGGATCCATGTCTTCCTTTTTGTGTGTGTGCAAAACTGGATCCATGTCTTCCTTTTTGTGTGTGTGCAAAACTGGATCCATGTCTTCCTTTTTGTGTGTGTGCAAAACTGGATCCATGTCTTCCTTTTTGTGTGTGTGCAAAACTGGATCCATGTCTTCCTTTTTGTGTGTGTGCAAAACTGGATCCATGTCTTCCTTTTTTGTGTGTGTGCAAAACTGGATCCATGTCTTCCTTTTGTGTGTGTGCAAAACTGGATCCATGTCTTCCTTTTGTGTGTGTGCAAAACTGGATCCATGTCTTCCTTTTTTGTGTGTGTGCAAAACTGGATCCATGTCTTCCTTTTTGTGTGTGTGCAAAACTGGATCCATGTCTTCCTTTTTGTGTGTGTGTGTGTGGATCCATGTCTTCCTTTTTTGTGTGTGTGCAAAACTGGATCCATGTCTTCCTTTTTGTGTGTGTGCAAAACTGGATCCATGTCTTCCTTTTTTGTGTGTGTGCAAAACTGGATCCATGTCTTCCTTTTTGTGTGTGTGCAAAACTGGATCCATGTCTTCCTTTTTTGTGTGTGTGCAAAACTGGATCCATGTCTTCCTTTTTGTGTGTGTGCAAAACTGGATCCATGTCTTCCTTTTGTGTGTGTGCAAAACTGGATCCATGTCTTCCTTTTGTGTGTGTGCAAAACTGGATCCATGTCTTCCTTTTTTGTGTGTGTGCAAACTGGATCCATGTCTTCCTTTTTTGTGTGTGCAAAACTGGATCCATGTCTTCCTTTTTTGTGTGTGCAAAACTGGATCCATGTCTTCCTTTTTTGTGTGTGCAAACTGGATCCATGTCTTCCTTTTTTGTGTGTGCAAAACTGGATCCATGTCTTCCTTTTTGTGTGTGCAAAACTGGATCCATGTCTTCCTTTTTGTGTGTGCAAAACTGGATCCATGTCTTCCTTTTTGTGTGTGCAAAACTGGATCCATGTCTTCCTTTTTTGTGTGCAAAACTGGATCCATGTCTTCCTTTTTTGTGTGCAAAACTGGATCCATGTCTTCCTTTTGTTTTGTTTTTGCAAAACTGGATCCATGTCTTCCTTTTTTTGTTGCAAAACTGGATCCATGTCTTCCTTTTGTTTTTTTTGAAAAACTGGATCCATGTCTTCCTTTTGTTTTTTGGCAAAACTGGATCCATGTCTTCCTTTTGTTTTTTTTTGCAAAACTGCATCCATGTCTTCATTTTTTTTAATGTTCAGCCTATACAAGGCCCAAGAGCCACTCAAGGCACAGAGTTAAATGAAGTTGTATAAGCAGTAAGAGTAAGCAATAGAAAAGACAGTTTATGAGAATATGTGGCAAAGATAACAGTTAACCCGAGACATGAAGAGGTTAGTGGTCAGGAAAGCAACTTCTAAGGAGTCAGTTTCACAAAGTAACGATGCGTGGGAAGAATCTGTTCAAGTTGGACTTCCTTCTTACTAATGGAATACGAAGGGAATGTAGATGGTTTGATTCAATGTATGTGGCATGGTGGGTCTTAGCTCCAAGAAATAGCAATAGAGTGGTGAGAGGTTTGTGACATTGTGTCTGTGACATAGGGTTTTGGGGTGGAAAATAATTTATCCCCAAGAATGGTGCCATAGTTGCTTTTGGACTCTATCAAGACTGAAAAGTGAAGACTGGAATTGAATTTGACGAGCCAGCATTTTTCTCATTGAGCTGTTAGAGCTCTGTCAGATGAAAGATCAGCTGCTAGGCTCTGGTCATCTAGATATTTTGAGGGGCACCTAAATACCGTTTTATCATCTGCATTGAGATATTCACTAAAGATCGGAGTATTTTCTCAGATAGATCATTAATATAGAGCAGGAAGAAGGTAGGACTGAAAAGCGAGAAAAAAAAAAAAAAGGAAGCTGTGGAGAGTGGCTTACCCTAACTGTATACAGCAATGTAAAAAAAAAAAAAAAGTAGTAAACCAGGAACATGGTGTAGCTTAATTTTAGAGGCTATAAAAGAGTATGAAACATAGTAATCAGTGTAATACTGCTGTGGCAAGAGCATATGTATGTTAGTGTTTGAGTTGAAAACATGAAACGTATCTCCTGGAACATCCGTCCGTCCACTATTTACATTATTCAGACTATTGTCCTCATCTTTGTCGCCATATTTATTACAACATTTCGGCTGTTGTACACTCCGGCCTTCTTCAGGTGGTTGGAATGTCAAACTGAACCCTTTATTTCGCTCACTGGGGTAGACTGTTCTAGTTCCAGTTGCCATCCAAGGCAATGGTCTGTTCTGCTTGGGGGGGGGGGGGAGAAGAAGAGGATTCATACCTTTCCCAAGGGTATTAGCACGTAAGTGAATGTAATGGATTCAACTGGAATTAGAACTTGGCTCTCTGATTCCTCAATCCAAGCCGCTATCCATTACACCACTGTGCCTCCTCCCACAATGGATGGTACAGAAGATGATATGCTGTATGACTGACAATAAGGCCAGATTTGGAGTGTGATCCATATCACAAAACTGTAAATGACAATGTTTATGATGAGCTCTTTGCATCAGGTGGTGATCCTAGTAATTTTGAAGGAATTTTAATTATGTATGTGGGTGTCATATAATTCTAATTCTGTAATGAGAAATAAAGTTTTTATAACATCTTAAATGTTTTGCTCCTTAACACTGCAAAAAATACCATATATTATTGAAAAATAAATTTTGAATGTTATACTAAATGTTGTTATTTAATATCACAATAATAATGAATTTTAATTAGAAACATAAATTGTATGTTATGCTTGTTAGCTATTGCTGATTGCAATTGGAATAACCAGTTATCTCGCCTCCTCAACTAAATAGACTGTTCCTGTCAGCAGTGGCAGCAGCATAGACTTGTGTCCCCTTCTGTCCAGGGTGGATTGGCCCATTAGATGCTATTTAAAATGCTGTGTTTTCTCTCTTGGCACTTTAACTTCACTTGCCTAGAGGAATTGTTGACATTTGCAACCAGACCTGGACTCTTATCAATGCTAAACGTTGTTATTTAATACTATGAGAAATAATGATTAGTGCAAATGCACATATGTAGTTCTACTAATCAAGAACAAAAGAACATTACTTGTGCGTTTTTCCCCAGCAAAACTTTTGCAAATTGTTGTGTAATCGTCACTTGAATATTGCATTTTAATGTAAAATCAAAAAGTAAAAGGAGTTCTATTATATTTATAACTCCAGTACAGCATTATAATCTGAATTGTTTTAACTAGAAATACTTACATTGGTAGTTACCATACCGAGGAAGTTGTTAGTCTACCACAATCCATTGCATAAGCATACTAGCCTAATTACCAGAATTCCGATACACCAAAGGATTTAAGATTAGCTTTTTGTAATTGTTGTAATAGGGGGTAAGTTATTGGGTACAGAAGGGTTAATTCCAGCAGGTGCCTTGGGGATCTATCCTCGAACCTACATTGTTTCTTATCTTCATCAACAGACCTTCCTGATGTCATCAGTTCCCAACTTGGCATATATACTGATGACAGAACTATTTACACATGCTTTAGTAGCAGGTCCAACAAAGTAAAACTAGCAAATGTTCTTGAAAATGACCACAAATCAGTGGTTAACTGGAGCAAGGCATGGCTTCTAAATTTTAACACTTCCAAAATAAAATTGTTTTCATTTAATCATAGGAAATATTCTCTATGTCTCTATCAGCATGGCTGATGCTAACCTCTAGGAGAGTAATTCTTTGCACCTTCTTGGGCTCACTTTTTCCACTGACATAAAGTGGAGGGATTATATTGCATCAACTGCACAGTCTATTGCTAGCAAAGTTGTTTCAATGTTGTTCCAGACAATTTTTTTTTTCTTAAAATACATCTTGCACATTTATAAATCTACCATTCATTCATACATTGAATGTTGCTGCCATATCCAGTCTGGTGCTCCTAGTATATATTTCAAGATTCCTGACAAAAAGGGTCTGTGATGTTAATCAATCCTGACCTGGCATCTCGACTTCAGTCACTTTTTAACTGATGTGGCGTCATTCTGTATTTTCTACAAATGTTTTCATGGCAATTGTTCTGATGGACTTCAAGTGCAATGAATTTAAATATGCTACTAGATTTAAATGCAATGCTATTTGCCATCTTTTTTCTTCTGTAAGCCTGTTACTTTATTGTCCTTTCTCTTCACTTCTCCTGACTAAAGTTTTCTCATTCATTTTCTTTCGCTACTAGTAAGCATTTGTGTCCGATGCTGATTTTGCTGATGACATTGCACTGTTGTCTGACAACCTCATTAGTGCCCAAGCACTCCTTTCTTCTCTTGAATCAGCAGCTAACTGTGCAGGTCTTCACCTAAATGAAACCAAAACTGAGTGTATGCCAATTAACATTCGCAACAATCATGAGATCAAAACACTCTCAGATAACATCCTCAAATGTGTCGAAGACTACAAGTATCTAGGATCACACATCAAGAACTCTGAGAAAGATTTCAACATTAGAAAAGGCATGGCATGGACTGCTTGTAACAAAATGGATAAGATCTGGAAATCCAATCTTGCTCGTCAATTCAAAATCCAACTTTTCCGCGTACTTATTGAGCCAATCTTACTCTATGGCTCTGAAACTTGGACTCTCTCAGCAAAACAACAGCGCCGTTTAGTTGGATGTTATACAAGTCTTTTAAGAAGAGTGCTTAATCTCTCATGGCGAAATCGCCCAACTCTAGAAATGATATATGGAGACTTGCCAAGAGTATCAACCTTAGTTTGCAAGAGACGTGTCCAGTTCGCCGGGCATTGTGCACGTGCCACAGATGAACTTGTGTCATCATTTGTACTCTGGAGGCACCCATCATCTGACAATCGATCACACAAGTTAACCTTTCCAGATAGGATAAAACGAGACACATTGATCCCTAAGGAAGATCTTTTAGGAGCTATGACAGATAGGGAATACTGGAGAGGTGTAGTGAGTTCAATCTCGGCTGAGGCCACAGGATGATGATGATGACCATGCTTAGGGTGAAATGATTAAAAGAAAGAAAACAGGTTAAAACAGAGGTAGAGTGTCAATTGTTATGAGGATGAACTAAAGAGGTTGTAAGGGGAGACAATTCAGCAGGTGAAGTTGTAGCATAGAGAGAGAGCAATATTAAAATTAACAAAAGAATAAAAAGTAAAACTAACAATTTCGAACTGTCTCATTCACTGGGAAGGAATCATCTGGAAGGTGTCCCCATTTTGTTAGGTTAGTCCGTGCGCCTTCTAACACCTGGAAAAGAAAGAAATGTTTTCATATGACAAAATTAGACATGCACAGTTATATGCATTTATTTTTAATCCAACATTTTTATTAAAAAAAAAAAAAAAGTTGAATGTAATAATATATATATATATATATATATATATATATATATTTAAAGATATTTTTGTAGGTACAAAATTTAATGATCGAAATAAAAGTATAAAACTTAATATTACGAGACATATTAAAAACGGGCGAAGCAACTGGTTTCGCTCCCGCTCTTCAGGCTTCAACGGGAGATTTAAAATTAAGACAGAAAAATGTACAATAAAAGGAAGTTGTGACAAAAAAAAAAAAAAAAAAAACAACAGCAAAAGGAACTAGAGACAAAGACAGTGAGCCCCAACAAACACTCACGTTGTTTACACAAAGAAGGCTTATGAGACCCGATGTAAAGTGACCCAGAACCTTTAGATGAAATAAAGAGTGAGACCGGGACAATATGGTGAACCAGTCAACACTAAATTTGGCTGCACAATCTCTTATTTAATAGGTGTTCACATATGGTTGAACCATATGTGTTCGGGACGAGTCCATTCAACGGCAGGGTGTGATTTCTAATTTTTGTAGGAACGTGTCATTTTACTAAGCGTTGAGTTGTTCTCCCTATGTAGTCGGCTCTGCAACTACAAACGTATTTATAAATAATTGAATTAATTTGATGGGGAGGGAGAACATCTTTACACGTAGAACGAAACATAGGCCGAGTTTGAAAAATAATCCAAACTTCGGCAGAGAAAAAACAACGACGAACATTGGATGAAATTTTTTTAGCTATTTTTTCACATTTGGTTCCAATCCAGGGTAATCCGAGGTAAACTGGGCATTTTTTGACAGTGTAGAGCTCGGCACTTCTGAGCTCTTCAACCTTACTGTGGATAACTGAATTAACAGTATCAAGAGGATAACCCCCAAACTACATAGGGTATCCTTATATATATATATATATATATATATATATATATATGAATAAAATTATTTTTTAAAAATATGATTCTTTCGCTACATAAGAGTTCTCACGGTTCAAAAACAAGAGCCAAAAACTTCAATATAATTATCCAAGTTAAATTGAATTAAAGTATCAAGCTCTGTTTCATCCTCAAGCGAAATTTTTTGAATAACTTATCTTGAAATAAGCATATTCATTCATAAAATTAATCACTATGGAAATGGCTGAAGCAATTATTTAAATAAGGGGCGTAAGGGTTAACAATTTGTATCAACATATCAGTTACTTTTAGAAAGAGGTCACGTCAAGGTAAGGTTTGGGTGTCTAATTTAAAGCAAATTATGACATTCATATGCATATTGTCTAGTCTGTTTCAGCAACAGAGAGTTATTGGCGCTATTGCTAAACTGTTGTCTAAAGATTTTTTTTTTTCTAAAAGGGTTGTTTGTATATAAAAGGTCTTGAACTACAATTTATTTTTTGATGTCTTCATAAAGAGTTTTTTTTATCTTATGATTGGGTTAAGCTTTTAAACCTTTTATTAGACTATGAAATTTTATATTGTTTTTTTGCTAATTATTTAAGGCAAAGATTTGTTGATGTCGGCAAAAAACCGTTAACTCATGTCTATGGTTTAATAAATTTTCATTATTTAGAAACTTAATGTGTAGTTTTTCATGTAGGCATAAAGGGCATGGGTCATCCCAGGTTTTACACGTTCTTGTTCTATTTATTATTTTCCATTTTACTTTTGGTGTTTTATTTATTTCTTTTAAATGCCAAAAATATTTGGATAGGGATGTCTGATTTCTATTTCTAATATTACTGTGTTGTCTCCATCTAATTTTAAATTCATTTTTCATGGAACCTATATATATCATTTCAGTGTTAGGACTCTCAGTGGATGAGATATTGCATTGGTATACCACAGATTTTACACGGCATATATTTTCCAATGGGCAGTCTTCTGTGTTTCTACAATCACATAATTTTTCATTATTTCTGTCTAATTTTAGTTTAGGGTTTTCATTCCTACTATTTTGGCATGTGTGTTTTTCCAGGATTTTATTATTATGTTTTTTTCATGATTCTTTCTAGATTTTCAGTGCAACTCTAACTTAATTTTAAGGTATTTTTATTAAATATTTTACTAAGTCTGCTATTAGTAGGAAAATGTTTTTTCAATTAAAGCGAGGAATTTATATCCTAGCTTAATACTAATCATTTGGTTGAACGGAGGGGTACACCAAATGATTTTTCTTTTCCTGTTTTTCTTCTGGTTATTACTATTGTTTCTATAATTGATGTTAGCATTTTTGTATCCTCTATTTTTTAGAGCTGTGTTAAGAAAATTACTGTGTTGTTGGAATATTTCTTTATTAGTGTAGTGCATGCTGATTCTTTTCTCTATTGATGAGGCTTAATTATAGATGGAGGGTGGTTTGACTTAAGGTGTACATACAAGGGGTTAGCATTAGGTTTTCTGTAAGGTAGGTATATGTTATTCATTAAGTCCAGGAAGTTTACCTTTTTCAATTTAGTATTGACTGTAGTTTTTAAATTTAGTTTTCTGAATTCACTATATATTATCTTTCTAATTTTATCTATTTTAAAATTTGTGGAACTCCTCACTACCATGAGCCCGTCAACCCTGTATAGCCTGATGTCCTTAATGTCTAATTTACAGTGCGCGGTTAGGTTGTATAGATAGACCGACAAGGTCAGAAGACTTGGCAGAGTCTAAAGATCTCATGGTGATGTCAAAATGGTCATCAGTGTTTTTTAATCCATTGGTCCCCATTATGAATGAGGACAGATTTTTTTGCACTAAGAATTATATTCATTTCTTTTTTTGTTAGGATGAAACAGAGCTTGATACTTTAATTCAATTTAATCTTAATAATTATAATGGCTCGTTTTTGAAACGTGAGAACTCTTATGTAGTGAAGGAATCATATTTATTAAAAATAATTATAATTTAGGCTGTACTTTTGTATTGAGCACTGTTTTTAAAAAATAAAAATACTAAAGAACTTGGGATTATTTACCTAACGTGTTCTTTCCTATATATTTGCACACACACACACACATATATATATATATATATATATATATATATATATATATATATATATATATATATATATATATATATATATATAATAATTTTTTCATTATTAATAATTTATAAATCATTGCTTAGATGCAATTCCTCATCACACACCACTATACCTAGCACTAACACATAATCTCATATATATATATATATATATATATGTGTGTGTGTGTGTGTGTGTGTTTTATAAGAAACTATAGAGATTTCATGTTTATTAAGTTTAATTACTGTTTTGTAAACTATCAATGACATTTCACAAAACTGGCTGCTCTACATATACAAAATTCCTAAAATCTATATAAACTTCTTTTGACTCACATGAGCCATCATCAGGGGTTTGTATATACGGAAATTAGGTGACAAAAATGAATGATAAAACTTCCAACTTTTTGGATTTATTTCATCCAAATCAAAATATACCTATACATATAAATATATGACTTACATAATATTTTCTTTGCCTAAATTTACTACCTAATGATGACTCACACAAGTGGAAAACTTGGACGCAGTAATTATATAGATTTAGAAATTTTGTACAACTACAGCAGCCCATTCACAATATTAAAAAAAAAGAAAAAAAAAAAAGGTCAAACTTAATTGGCATAAAATAATTTTTAATAAAATAAGTATAAAGGAACAATTGCTGCATAATTACACTAAAATATATATATATATATATATATATATATATAAAATATTCAGCTGTATGGATATGAGTTTGTGACTGTGGGTGTCACGCTTTTGCGATCATCAGACAAACTGGTTTATTTTTTAAAATTGGATCTATTTAAGCTTGTTTGCTTATGTTTGGTGATGGGAGGGGGAATTTCCCTCCGGGCATGTTCAATCTCACACACATAAACACACACAGGTGTATGCATTTTTGTTTACACAAACGCACCCATATAAACAATCCGAGGCCAGGTGCAGATACACATCCATGCACTCTGGCATACATATATATGCAATTTTAATTTTATTTTGGTGTTGGCTTATGGCTTTTTATATGTGGCAATGTTCATTTCAACAAGGAGTGGGTAGGGGTATTCTTGACGCTTTTCAGCTCTACCATCATCATACAAAACTTGCACTTCCTCCCATACATGTAGACGTGCACATACTCTCCTATTGGTCTTTGGGTTCTGTTTGTGGACATGGTGATGATGATGTTTGTACTTTTAATGCTGACTTCTTGTGTGTTGTTGACGATTGTGATTATCCTGATACTGATAATAACTGCGATATTAATCATTATTAATATGTTAATAATAGCCTTAATGATGAAGATGAAAGTGTAATAAAAAAAAAGTGGGAGGCAGTAATGACATTATTAATGATAATAGTTGTGGTAACAATGATAATCATAATAATAGCAATAATAAAAACAATATTAAAAACAATATTAAAAATTAATAAAAACAATATTAAAAAGCAGTACTAATTGCAGTGGAGATGGTTATGAAGTGATTGCAGTATGATAGTAAAAATGATAGTAGTACTTATTTCCAGTCGATGTATAAAGTGGTAATAAAGTTATCCTCTCTGATGGCTGCACCAACTGTCAAGTCGTTCTTGATTATATGTTGTTTGTCAAAAAAATATATGGAAAAATAAAAATCAAGTTTAAGTCATTTGTTGCTATGGACGTGGCTTGTTTTTTAAAGGCATCACAACATTGAATACAGTATTTTGCCATTCTGCTACAGTCTAAACTCATCCCTGTGTGTGTATGTATATATATATATATATATATATATATATATATATATATATATATATATATATTGTCACGTAGCAACGATTTCATTAACCATATAGGCGTTAGGCTAAAGTAAAATCTTAAATAAAGAGAAAATTAGTTAGATATAAAAGAAAGATAAATAAATAGATAAAAACAGA